CCAAGGAAAAAGAAGAAAAAGCACCTCTAATTATATCTATGATTGCCTTATATAAAATGCTAAAAGTGCAAGGTTTACTGAAATTTACCAACAAATAGCTAAATGGAATTCTAACTTTCCCTAATCTGTAAAGTTTTGACAAAGAACATATGAACGTTCTGAAATTATAGATGTAGAGACCAAGTTAACATTCATGTCATGTAAAGGACTGCTAAATTTTATTTTAAATGATTCCAGTTGATCACTCATCTCCGTTGAAATCTTGGGATATATATTTTGCTGGAAGGAAATGCAACTAAAATATTCAGTTGGCTATGGGTGAATGCAAGGATGTATTTTCAAGATCTTGACCTATGAGAGTAACATCAGCAGAATATTTAAGGATAAATTTTAATGATTCAAGTGCAATGAAACAACCTTTAAAGTCGATTCAAGTATTAGTGATTAAACGTCTCTAATATTTGAATTTTCAAAAATAATTTAACCATACGATTGGGTGATTATTTCATCCTATGTGGGTTTCCATGAAGTGGCACTAATAACAATTTGTAAAGAGCATAATGATTCTTTAGTTGTTTGTATCTGTTCATCATTTGCGAAGGATCATTACGTGCACAGATTTAGGCGGGGGGCCTATCATAGCACACGAGTATCTCTCTTTGTTGGAGCAACACAAGCCTGTAATTCAGTGGGAGGAGGACAGTGCTGAGCATTTCTTCTTGTATTCTGACAATCAGCAAGTCCAGCATGCTGTATTCTACCCGTCGCTCATGTCACTTGCAGTGCGGCTTGAGGAAGCTCTTTCATGGGGGGCAGGCATTTCAATTTGGGAAATTGGTCAAGGTCCGGAATACTTTTTTGATATTTTGTAGTATTTTAATCTTCACTTGGCATTGTTGCCTTGTCTTACATTTCCATTTGTTTAATTGAATAGTAGAAAGAAACTTTGGTGGTACATCTGTTGCGGATTAGTTTCTGAATCTAGATTTGTAACATCAATAGAAGCTCTATGTTTCCAGTTTCACTCCACTTGCACTTTTCTTGTAAAAGATCCGTCTTCCTTTTTTTTTTTTGGGAAGAGTGAGGATCTTAAAATTGTTCTCTTTTGTCAATAGCAAGGGGTGATCGAATATTTCTTTCTTTGGTGAAATCCCGGGTGTTGTCTAATTTTGTAAACATGCACTGTTGAGCGTGGCTCTTTTCACTACTGCAATTGCATGAGTTTCACTCTCTTATCCAGTTTGTTCGATGAGTATATAATGCTGCATTTGAATCGGTCAAGAAAACACCCCTTTCTTCCGATTAGTCTCTATATGTTTATGGTAGATCATGTTCTCTCCCACATCTTGAAGAAGGATGATACTTATTCTGGAATGCTATTTACACTGAAACAGTGGAAACAAGACATTGAATTAATCCCTACACAGTTGAAACATTCAGAGCAAAACAATTGAATTGATACTTCACACCCAAGAAGATGGTTATACTTGGCATAGGCTCTGGGAATTTGCGGATATTACCTGAACAGTCACATTGACCCCACTTGTGAGACTACACTGGGTATGTTGTTATTGTTGTTGTTGTACCTGGTCAGTCACATGACTAGAAATTCTTTTTGGTTATCCATTGGGGGTGAGTATACATTTGTACTTAAGTGTGCAAAACTGTTGAAGAAGAAAGAAGCTCCAACAGGAAGCAGTTGCCAGTGCCATTTGCTGTGGAACTACACTTTGCATTGGAGATTCTTGGAAATTTGGGTAGTCTTTTGCATCAATAATTTCATTTTTTATAGGGAAAATATTTTTATGGTGATCATTCTTGTAATGAAAAACCTGATGCTTGAATCGTATAATTCTATCTAGTTAACTTTTGGTCAGATTTAATGTCTCGAACAGGGTTCATCTCCAATTTCGAGTTGGCAGTAATGGAGTTTCCATTCAGTGGAAAAAAAATTAGAAATAAAATATTTCTTCTATTTCATTTTACATCATTAGTTTGATTTGTACAGGTATGGATGAATGTTGAAGTAATACTACTACAATAATAACAACCCAGTAAAATCCCACTAATGAGGTCTGGAATGTTGAAGTAATAGTAGTTTAAAAGTTTTAATTTGAAAAGGAAATTAGTTTGATATATATCATCCAAAGGCTAAAGGCAAATTTATTCGAAATCTTATTTGGAGGATAAATATAATACAACAACAATAACAAATCCAGTGAAATCCTACAAGTGGGATCTGGGGAGGGTAGTGTGTACGCAAACTTTACCCCTACCTATAGGAAGGCAGAGAGAATGTTTTCGGTAGCCCCTCGGCCCAAGAAAATTTGACTATTTTCCCTTTGAAAAAAATAAAAATAAAAGAAGAAGGAAGTAGTAGGTACTATGTAAGAACTGAGTTCCTATCGTGAATGTAAAAGAATGTCTTGATAGTCAACTAATGCAATGTGCGTTGACTCTGTCAATTACCTTTGTTAAGGGCATGAAGACTAATAAGCAAGTCTTCACACTTCATTTCCTCTAATTTGTATACCATCCCATCCATTTCTTTGAATATGCTCTTTTCATTCATTTTTATTCTCACTAGCAAAATTACTTTTTCTCATCAAGCTAAAATTCATATTCAGATCTGCAAGTTTTCTGTTGGCTATATTTTTAGCCTTGTTTAAGTTCAACCATCATCTCTGGTTTTGAGCTCTACTCGAGCGTAGTCAGCCAGCTTCTTGACTTTGCTTAGCGTTCAGATTTTGCGGAAAATGGGAGAGGAGAATTGTTGGGAGAGAGAAGTTGTAATCACTGAGCTAACCAAGGGGAGGGAATTGATGTATCAGCTGCAAAAGCACTTTAATCCAATGAAACAGGATGTATGCCAGTATTTATCTGTGGAAATACTTTCTTCTTATGATAAAGCATTGTCCCTCTTAAATGGCACAGCTTTATCAGTAATGAGCAAAGGAAAACAGATTATCAATTCAGCACCTTCTTCATCAACTGCTAAGCTGGTATCTCCTCATCTTCCGGTTGATAGTAGCACGAAGAGTTCTGACCGTCCTTCTAACTCCAGGAAGAGGTATTCTCATCCCTCTCTTTTTTCCCCTCTTCTTAGTTTAATCATCTGGTATCCGAACCAACTTCCCGACTAATCCAGATTTGTGCCGTAGATAGCCCACTATGGAGAGTTCCAAAGGGAGCTCCATTTCGAGGGCTCTAAACTAAGACCTCTTGTTAAGGGTGGAGAAACCTTTACCATCCACAACCGCATCCTCTCACTTGTAATTGGTTGGAGTACAAAATTTAGTATAAATGGAAGTGATATGTGCTTTCAAGGATCTATCGGAAACAACCTCTCTACCTTCACAAGGTACGGGTAAGGTACTACGTACACTCTAACCTCCCCAGACCCCACTTGTGGGATTACAACGGGTTAGTTGTTGTTGTTGTTGGAAGTGATATGTGCTACGTTTAAGCTTATAGATCTTTAGAACATTCAAAGAGTAGCGAATTGCTTTAGATCTTAGTGGTAAATTCAATGCTTTGGAAACTCTGGCTCTCTTGATACCTAGCTAATCTTGATATAATATGGTTAAGTGATGATTTAAAGAAAGATTTTATATGAATGAAATTGGATTATTCTTTCATTTGATGGAGGTTCTTGTTAGGAACTTTTATATTTGTGAGACAATTAATCATTGTAGGAAGATGATCTCGCGAAGGACAGAGTACGTACATGCTCGATCTGGAGCAGAGGTTCCACCTGAGGATGGATACAGTTGGAGAAAATATGGACAGAAACATATTTTAGGAGCAAATTATCCCAGGTGAGAATTTGTTTCTCTATGTTCCTTGCTCAGCAGAAACCAAAATCTGGATATCTCTGTCTTCATGTATGTACGAACAGAGGAGGACCTATGCTATATAGAGAGGGGTCACCAACACCTGTAAAGATCGGCAAAAATTCCATGTATACGTGTATATCTTTAGAAAATAGTGATATATTAGTGGTGAGCACCCTATATACAAAGCAGATTTTAGTTAAATCCAACAGCACATCCCCATCCTTCAAATCTTGGGTCCGCCTCTGTGTACGAAGTTCCACTTCATTTGTTGTGACATGAATTGGCTAAAGGATTGGATGGTAATACACTATCCGGGTTAATTTCACATATTGATCATTGAATTCCAGGTTAACTTCTAACAATTATTTTTCTATGGCACTGCAGAGAATATTATCGATGTGCTCGTCGTCATTTATCTAAATGTATTGCTACTAAGATGGTCAAGCGAAGTGACACAGAGCCGCCAGTTTTTGAAGTTATTTATGGAGAAAGTCACAGTTGTGGTCAAGAAAGCAAAAACCAAAATGAAGAATTACCTGAGCCTGTGCTAACAACAGAAATACAATCTGAATCTGCTGATATTGCTGATATGGTTTCAACACCAAATAATTCATTCAACAATTCCTCAACAGGTGTTGTATTCTCATCAAATTCCAATTCCAATTCACTATTCAACATCGCCAATTCTGACTTCATTTCCACACCAACTTCTTCACCCCATCCAGATTGGAATTTTTTGTCATTTGATGATACTACTAGACTCACTGCTTTACTTAATGATGGACCTGAAAATGTGAGCTGCACTTATAAAGGTGTCGATTTCATTTCCACACCAACTTCAGACCACAATCTGTTACTTGATGATACTACTAGTCTCACTACCTTATCTAAAAGTGCACCTGAAAATGCTAGGTGCACCTATAGAGGTGTCCGCCAGCGTCCTTGGGGGAAATGGGCAGCTGAAATCCGCGAGCCCAACCGTGCTCGCGTATGGCTTGGCAGTTTTGAGAATTCTCATGATGCTGCTGTGGCTTACGATGCTGCCGCCTATAGATTCTACGGGAAAAATGCGAGACTCAACTTCCCTGAACGTTACATCAAATAGGCCTAGAATTTACGAGTCAGTAGTACCAACAACTTTGGTTCAAGCCCTGTATTTGTATTAAAAAATGTAGTTTGGTTGATTAGTAGACAATGCAACATTTGGATTGTCCAAGAAGATACTCCTCTTACAATTAGTCTCTGTATATTTATGTTAGATCACCTTCTCCCACATCTTGAAAAGGGATGATGCTTATTCTGGAACCTGTTTACACTAAAACAATGGAAACCAGACGACTCAAATCAGAGGCGGATTCAAAATTTAATTTTAATGAGTTCAATTTTATGATTTTTAGTATTGCACTAATTGTACTGTTAAAATTATGGGTTCAAATCTAATATTTATTAAAATTTTAGTAGATTTTTACATATAAATTTATACTCGATATCAAAAGTTATGGGTTCAAACGTTCAGTAGCGAAAATGCTACATTCGCCCTCGAGTGAAAAAATGCCCTACTCACTTGAGTATACGCTTCACATAAGTATGCAAACTGTTGAAGAAGAAAAAAACCTCTGATTGGAAGCAGTAACAGAAACTGCAACTCTAAAAGGTGTACCATTCTTAAAAATAGACCAAAATTAGCAGAAGTTGCAAAAACTGCACCTTCAAATATGATTTCATGTAAAATCTTTTTTCAATCACCATTCTTGTTAAATCTAACAACCAATTTTTGTTAAATATTTGATCTTACTTTTGACAAACTTGAAAGACCAAAGCTGCTTAAAAATATATTTAAGGGATCTTTTTTATCCTATTCTTAGAGATAAGAAACCATTGTTTGTCATTTGATCGAGAAAAGGTCAACTTCTTTTGAATACTAAACACGTCCAATTCTGACTTCCTGACAACTCCGACTTTTGTGACCGTATAAATATCATAGTCGTATTTGGTTAACAGGACTAATAAATCGCATTAATTATGTGCGATTTCTCTCTGCCAAACATGAGCGTTATACCTCGTATCTTTTTTAATCCTAGTAATGATAAATTTCAGATAAAAGGCTCAACTGAGGATCTTTGGTCTTTGGACTGCATTTCTCATCCCCCCCCCCGGAAATCAGATTGATAGTGTATACGGGTGTGGAACCGAGCCCGTGGGACGCCTCGGTTTTCGATGAAGTAAACGGAGCAAGAGACGTGACTGCAAGGAACCGGAATCGAGGCAAGGAGCTCTCGAGTCGGGGTACGGGCAAAACACCTGCCCTCGGAAGCATCGGAGGTACGACCTCCTGGTTCGATTCGAATCCCAAAAACCTCGGAGAGCATTACCAGATAATCGAACATGACCAACAAAGGGCCGTGATATTCGTGACCAGCCGGGTGTCATGGCGTGAATCTCGGCAGAAAATCGGTGATTAGCAAAACGGAAGATTTTTACCGTTTTTGTACTTGGGGTAAAACTCCCCTACTATATAAAGGGGAGTATGATTATTCATTAGCAATATTGTAACACGCATATCAAGGCAATTTACTTTTATTTTCTCTGTTATTCAAAGTACTTACTTTTGTCCATCCATTCATCATTAACGTGAGCCCGGGATCGAAGGCAGACATTTCATTAAAGCTGTTGCTGAGTCCGGAATCACTCTCCTTAATTGGTTTGACTATTTATTATGTCCTTTATCTGTTTAATCTAACGCAATTCATCATTTGTATTGAATTAATCCGTTTATCCTTAAAATCACTTATAAATTTAATTGTTATCCGTTTCTAGGGTAAACGGATAGTGAAGTAAAATTATCTAAGATAAAAGCTTTCGTTTAAAAGGACTTGCAGGGTTTTATTCTATCAATGTATTATTGATGAATTTACTAAGCTAATGAAGGATATTATTCAATATACATATATAAACATAAGTAAATACAAATACAACATGGAGATATGTAGTTTAATTAATATTGATTCTTTTGTCTAAAGAAAGAGTAGTTACCCTTATTGTCTATTAGTATAACTATTGATCGGTAAGTCATATCAATATACAATTTAGAGTAAATATCAAGACTACGTAATTGAGATTACAAGTTCTTACATTGATTAGTGTCCGGATTAGTTGATCTCAACTTGTTGATACCGAAGATCTCATTTGATTAAAGTATTCAGATCGTTGATTTAATGCCCAACGACTTTTAATGGTTACTAAAATACATACAAATATTAAGCATAAAAATATGTATTTTTATCTAAAGCATATCATTTATTGATTTTTGTTTAGAATTTTAAAAGAAATATTGCAGAATCTTGAGTACTAGTATTCACGCACGGCACGTTATAATATGTAATCATATTTCGTTTACTTCCAATTTCTTTTTGTGTTAATGAAATTGGAACTCTAATTAGTTGATTATTTATTTATCATTGTTATCATGAAATTAATTAAAGTATTTACCATGGGTTACATATGGATATACACGTGCATTTGTTTCAACGTACTTATGATATCATAAACAAGACCGAGCCTCCATCTAAAAAGGAAGAAAAATAAGTATCAACAACAACAATGGCATGACTTAGACTTTTATTTTTGGCTTAAAATATGGCTAGACTTACTTTACCACATTATGTAGAAAGCCGTGTAGCGATCTTCAACCATACAATTGTAAACACAATCTTATACTCTTTTTTTTCAAATTTTATGGTGATTATTTTTGGTGAAATAATCAAAGTACAAAATTCTCACAGAGGTAAAAGTGTCCTTTTTTGGGGGGTTGAGTAGGGGGTGCAAGATGAATATAAACAATAAGTATCTATTTTTTCTCAATTAATGAACACTAACATTGTGTTTCTATTACATATCTGTGTACGAGTCTGCAAAAACACAAGGAAGCAAACAAGATGATCTAATCTTACGTAACAGTGGAGCCATCTTTTTTCCTAACCCTTTTATCTTGCATTATTACCTATTTTGCTCGGACCAAGAGTGAAAGAGTGTTCAAGTTTGAAAGAAGCGAAATTTTTTTTCTGACAAAGGGTGTTCAATATATGTTATGCATCTTTAAAATTTAATATTTTATTTATATACACAGTATAATTTTTCAACGGATGGTGGTCAATTGACAACCCTTCAAATAATGTGGCTATCGGGAAGCGTGTCAGGCTAATAGAAGGAAAAAAATATATAAAAGAGAAGAGCAATAAATTACACAAGATAAGACAAGACAAGACAAAATTTACATGGTTCGGCAATTTTTGCCTACTCCATGGCCACACAAAGAATAACTCTTTATTAATTGAAAAGAAAGAAGAAGTTGAAGGATGATCTTCAAATTAAAATGCAGACCCCTTTTATAGGCATTTGAATGCCTTGCCGACGTAAGCACTTACGTCATAAGAAAAGAAAATTTAACTTGCCGACGTACGCACTTACGTCATAAGAAAAGAATTCAAAGATGAATTCTTTCGCCTATCATTTTTCTTCTCTCTTTGACTTTTCTTTCTTTTGTTTTGTCTACTTTTCTTTCTTTCACATACAACAACATGTTTGCTCCTATCAATCTCCCCCTCAAACCTATGTTACATCAAAAAAGAAATTTTAAAAAAAGATTTGCTATTCTCTGGTGGCGCCTTCACGGTATCAGTCTTGAAGGCTAACTGAGGCAGTGCACAACCTCAGTTTGTCAATACCGACAACTTTGGTCAACATGTCTGACGGGTTCTTTGATCCTGGTATCTTTTGCAGGGAAAAAGTTCCTTCACTTATCAACTCTCGGATATGATGATATCTCAATTGGATGTGCTTTGATCTTGCATGAAATACTGGATTCTTGACAAGATGAATTGCACTCTGGCTATCGCTGAAAAGCTCATAATTGTCCAGCTCTTTAAGAAAATTCTTGATCCAATCTCTTTTCCACCTTCTGAGATCGCCATGTACTCTTCTTCAGTGGTAGATAGAGCAATATTTTTCAAAAGTCTGGATATCCAGCTAACAGCAGTACCACCCAAGGTGAACACGTAGCTTGTGGTACTTTTTCGAGTATCCAGATCGCCGCCTAAATTTGCATCAGCAAAATCTTGTAAGATAATATTACTCTTTTTAAAATAAAGTGTCATACCTGAGGTGCCTTTGAGATATCATAATATTCATTTTACACTTCCCAATGCTCATTTCCTGGATCTGACATGTATCTACTGATGTTGGGCATATTCTTATAAGTTTTAATGTTACTTTACTCATATTTTAACCGCTTTTTGGTGCTATCTGATCTTTAAGGTGCCCAACGTGTGTTAATTATTGGTGTTATGATTAATTGAGTTATGTGTGATAATTTATGGTGTTTGGAGTGCAAATATATGAAGAAAAGGTGCTCCAGTTATAGAAGAAGAGGGTGGATGCGTCGCATCCAACCTAGGAAAAATCATATTTTTTTGCACCCTAATCAGTGAAGTCTGGCCAAGGCATCTGCCTTAGCATCCGCACCTGGGCACATCAGAGATGGAGGAACAAAGTCTAACCAAAAGAATTCCATAGACAGCAGAGATGGAGGAACAAAGAGTGGATGCAAAGCATCCACTCTAGCACGCGAAGCTGAAGAAGTGGAAGCTAAGGCGGACGCGAAGCATCCACCCCAACATCAATCCCTGAAGCTGATTCGGAAAAGGAAAAGTGAAGCTTTGGCCAACGACCTTTGTACGCAATATATAAGTCAAAAACGCCTCTTTTAGGGCATCGAACATACTTTTTGAAGGGGATTCGACCTAGGGAGAGCACAGAGCCGCCGTGGAGGCCGGGTTTCATCTTTCTTCTACAAAACTTAGTAATTTTTATGTTTCTTTGTATTATTTGTTGTTTGGCTACCATGTCTATGTAGAGCTAAACTTCGCGGTCTAGGGTTGTGGTTCTTTCATGACTATTGTTATTCGAATATTGATTTTAATTTTTAGTTTATTGTATTAGTTTATTTATTCAATCTTGCACTTAATTATTTGATTGCTTGATCACCAATTTAATACTATCTATGAATATGGAATTAAACTCGAAAGTGAAAATTCTAGATTGCATATAGGATTGAGTAGAACAAGTTCTTGAACATGGGCATCGGGTAATGGGTTCGCAGTTAGGATAGACATATACCTAATTGCCTTGCTTGGTTAATTTATAGGAATTATAAATGTGTTCTTGTTAGTTATAATTC